TGGCGCGCCCTGGGCGCCCGGGGGCCTGGGGGCGGCCGTCGCGGGTTACCCGCGGCTCGGGGTGGTTGTCAGGGTCACTGGTGGGGCTGAGCGGCAGTCAGGGGTCGCGATGGTTCTTGGTGGCGTCTTCGCAGGGGACCAAGGTTGGTGCAGTGGTCGTCCGCGCAGTTGGCGGTGCCGGGCGCGGGAGGGACGGCTCTACCGCAGTCCCCGCATCCCTCGCCGTCCTCTGACGCAGCGACCGGCGTGATTGCATCACACCCGCTCAGGCGACCCCGCAGCCCCGGAAGCCCAGCTTTCCTGCCCGCGCAGACGCAGCCTGCTCCTCTGTAACCCTTTCTCCTCCTCGGTTCCCACTTTCTCAGGGAGTCTGGGCATGTCCCCTGGGCCACGAGGACAGGAGAATCTGCAACAGGCGAAGGCGAGGCAAGCATCAGCTTCATCCTCACTGGCACCTGTTTGCTGTGTGGTCTTAGGCAGCTTCCCTGACTGTCTCAGAATCTCGTCAGTGTTTGGGCAAGCTGCTTAACCAGTTCCATCATCCCGTCTGTAAACCACAATGTACCTCAAAGGTTTGTTTCAAAGAGCTGCACATACCCCGGGCACGGTGCATGCGAAGCTTTATAAGTATTGGGGTGTGTTTGTTTTGAGACAGAGTCTCTGTGGCCTAAGCCAGAGCACAGTAGTGTCATCTTAGCTCCCTGCAACCTCAAGCACCTGGATTCAAGCCAACCGTCTATCTACGCCTCCCGAGTTGCTGGGACTACAGGTGTGCACCACCCTGCCCAGCTAATTTTTCTATTTTTAGTAGAGACAGTATATTTTTAGTAGAGATGGGTCTCATTCTTGCTCAGGCTGATCTCAAACTCCTGAGCTCAAACGATCCTCCTGTCTCAGCCTCCCATAGTGCCAGGGTAACAGGTGTAAATCACCGTGCTGACTAGCAGTAGCTTTTTTGTTTGGATTTCTACGTATTTCTTTCGGTCAATCTTGTTAAAGAGGTGTATTTTACATACAATGATATGTACCCATTTTTTTCTTGGTTTCTTTTAAATATATGTATGCCTGTTACAGCTTTTGCCATCAGAGAGTGGCACTCATCCTCTTTAAAAAGTTTGTTGAAGGGCAGTGCCTGTGGCTCAAAGAAGTAGGGCACCAGCTCACATACTGGAGGTGGCGGGTTCAAACCCGGCCCCAGCCAAAAACTGCAAAAAAAAAGTTTGTTGAAGATGCAAACTGATGGAGATATTCTAAGGCACTTACAGAACATATTTATACTTTGAACTAGCTATTCCACTTTGAAAACTTTATTCTAAAGAAATGATCCTTGGAAAAGTGATGATGATTAGAACTGAGGGTGATGATGTTAGTAGTGGTGGTGGAGCGAGAAGGGGACTAATCCAAGGAATATTTTGAAGATACACAAATATGAAGGCAGTAGATGATCTAATACAAGGTAGGGTGGGAAAGAAGGGAGTGGGGAGGGGGTAGAGGGAGGGGAATGGAGGGTCATGGTGTATGGCACACCTCTTGGGGCATGGAACACAATTATAAGAGAGACTTTATCTAACACATGCAATCAGTGTAACCTAATTCTTTGTACCCTCATTAAATCCCAAACAATAAAAAAGAAAGAAAAAGGGAATCAGAAAGAGGAAAATTGAAAGCCAGGCATTGCCAAGGCATCGCAAACCCCCTGATGTGTGAGCTGCATGAAAACTTCAGCTCTGGGTGCTCTGTACTTGGCCCTGCACTACTACACCAACTGTACTGAATCCCAGAACCTGTTCTGGGAATGCTGCTCAGCAAGGAAGGAAGTCTTGATTCTTCCATGTGAATGGGGATACACGAGCCGGTCCCCTAAAGTCCTCTCACACACTTTAGCAGGAGCCCAAATGTTGTATTTATTCTTCATTTCTAGTCTACTAGAAAGATCAATTCTACTCTTTGATCTGCAGCATCTTCTTGACATAAGAAAAAGAAAAACAAACACATCATTGGGCAGAACCAAGGACAGCAACAAAAGTGCCCTGCGGAGGCGTAAGCATGAGGTCAGCACCAGGGACAGCGACACCAATTGCGGCCATTTTGGCTACTGCAGAGGTGTTAGGGGTTCAACCAAAACAATGTAGGCAGTGTAAGCATCGGGCCAAGCTATTAGTGGAACTATGTGTCTGATCCAGAGACAGACAAAGCGTCCCTGAGGATCTGAACATGTATGTGTTAGATATATGTGCGGGAGTACTAAGCACACCAGATGTACACACGGTAAAGCTCTCATTCCACTCTGGACACAACTCTTATTGTCTCACATGCATGGACAGCAGTGCCAAGCCTGGTTTTCTCCTCCTTAATGGGGGTCAGAAGTTGATGTGAACAAGGGGCCACAGAGTGAAATGGTTCTCAAGGTGAGTAGTTCACGTAAAATCCTCCCCTTAGCAGTTTACCCTCTAACTCCAAGATGATGAGCTATAGTTGGTGTCGTAATTTGAGTTTCCAAAAAAATCAGACCCTGTGAAGAGTTAATTTTGTATTGAATGGACCATGAGGTGCACAGATATTTGGCCAGATATTATTCTAGGTGTTGCTATGAGGGTGTTTGGGGTGAGATTAACATTTAAAGTGGTAGACTGAGTAAAGCCACTTGCCCTCCAGGGTGTAGGTGGACCTTGTCTAATTGGCTGAAGGCCTGAATAAAACCAAAGACTGACTGTCCCCAAGGAACAGCGACTTCTCCTACCCAACGGCCTTTGAACTGGCACAGCATCTCTTCCTGCCTGAGAATCTTTGAACTGAAGACATTGCCTGTGCCAATTTTGGACTTTGCAAGCCTCCATAACCACATGAACACACACACACACACACACATATATATAGTTTCTCTGGAAACTATATATATAAACTAAATAGTATATATATATGAACATGTATACACATGTATATGTAGTTTCTCTGGAGAACCTTGAATGATAGAGGCCCTGCCTGAGACAAGTACTTGAATTCAGGTTATTTGTGAGGTGATTTCAGAAAGCACATTAGGGGGTGTGGGAATGAGACAGAGAAAGGGTGTGTTAATGAACAGATCACCACAGTGCACAATGTGGGCTCAGCTGCTCTGGGTACCCACTGAGAAACTGTGTGGAACCCATTTCAGAATTATTCCACTGCAGGCTGGGAGGCTGGCACATGGATCAACTGATTTTGAGGGTTTCTTTCTTTCTTTCTTTTCTTTTCTTTTCTTTTTTTTTTTTTGAGACAGAGTCTCACTAAGTTGCTCTCTGTGGAGTGCCTTGGCATCACAGGTCACAGCAACCTCAAACTCCTGGGCTTAAGCGATTGTCTTGCCTCAGCCTCCCAAGTAGCTGGGACTTACAGGCACCCGCCACAACACTTGGCTATTTTTTGTTGCAGTTGTCATTGTTGCTTAGCTGGCCCAGGCCAGATTCAAACCCACCACCCTCAGTGTATGCAGCAGGTGCTGTAACCACTATGCTATGGGCGCTGAGCCTCATTTTGAGTTTTTATAACAAGAATACCTACGACTGGGAAATTTATAAAGAAAAGAGGTAATTTACTTATGGCTCTGTAGGCTGGGATGTTCAAGGGTTTGACCTTGACTTCTGGCAACGGCCATAGGCTGCATCATAACATAATGGACAATTCCAAAGGAGAAGCCAACGTGTGGGAAGAGAGAAAACCCAAGATGTGTCCTGGCTTTATAGCAAGCCACTCTCTCTGCAAGAACTAATTCAGCCTCACCAGAGGGAGAACTTGCTTACTACCCCAAGAATGGTACCAAGCCCCCCACAAAGACAGAGTCCTCATGACTCACATACGTCCCTTTAGGCTCCACCTCCCCAAACACTGGGGAACAAAAACCAGCATCAGTTTTGGTGGGCACAAACTCAGACCATAGCATCAACACCCTCTCTTCCGCTCTCACTGGGAGTTGTTTCTGGAGGCTTTAACCCCCCTGCCCTTCAAGTTGCTCCTGTGTGGTTCGGCAAGCTGCCATGATGGTGTGGTGAGCCCTAAGGCAGAGAAGCAGGCACCTGAGAGACGAAGCCATCCCCGCGGTGCCACAGCTGCAGGTGAACTCAGAGGTGGGCCTAGGGAGCGTGGGGTGAGGCATCAACAGTCCTTCCTCACTTGGCCAGCACGTCTCGTATACTATCAGAATGTGCTTGACAGTGGAGGGCAGAGGCTGGTGGATTGCCTGAACTCAGGAGTTTGAGCAAGGGTGAGACCCTGTGTCTAAAAATAGCCTAGTGTTGTGGTGGGCACCTAGAGTCCCAGCTACTTGGGAGGCTGAGGCAAGAGGATCACTTGAGCCCAAGACTTTGAGGTTGCTGTGAGCTATGATACCACAGCACTCTACCAAAGGCGACAAAGCAAGACTCTGTCTGAAAAAAATAAAAAAAGGATGTATTTGAGCTCATGAAGTATATTATATCAGGAAAGAAAGCCATATCATAAAAGTACTAATATTAACTACTACTAACTCAGTATTCAACTTACCCTACAAAACTTTATCTGTAGCACTATTATTTTCTACTCTGGTATGAAGTGTCATGGAGGCCCACAGTTACATTTAATTAGTTTCTAACTTTTGTTCAGGCTTCTAAAGCTCAGTCCCTACAATGAAGTCTCTCCACTCTGCCTCTAGGCTGTTGGAGGAGACCAAATCCAACATCAAGGGATCTGTCAAACTTTTATCTCAAACTATT